CTCTCTCTCCCTCCCTCCCTCCCTCTCCCTCTCTCCCTCTCTCCCTCTTTCCCTCCCTCCCTCTCTCCCTCTCTCCCTCTCTCTCCCTATCTCCCTCCCTCTCTCCCTCCCCCTCCCTCTCTCCCTCTCTCCCTCTCCCTCCCTCCCTCTCTCCCTCTCTCCCTCTCTCTCTCTCTCTCTAACCTTAGTGTCTCCAGCCATTGGTGCTTCAGCAGCTCTCTAGGGCATTTAGAGAGGATCGTTAATCTCTCCCACCTGGAAACCTGAATACCCTTCTCTAATTTAGAGGCTTTCCCTAGCTTGCCCTCCTCTCTCTTTTTGCAAGAATTACTGACTGAGGTGTGTTAGGATCACTAGAAATCCATATCACCTTTATTTTGAGGCCACTTTTTTCCTCCCAAATATCTTATTGAAATAGATCGACAGTCTGTATGGCCAGGCCACTCAAGGTGGCTGTTCTTTTGCTCTTTGTACATCCCCTGCTCGACCAGTCCCTGCTTCACCTACATTCTGCTCACACGAACGTGCTTGCTCTCTGCCCCAGCTAGCAACTGTTCTAGTCCTTAGGCCAGATGGTCCACCTGCTAGTTTATTAAAGGGAAACATCTGCCCTTGTGATGGTTGTTAACCTGAGGGCCTGGGCGGGACCTGCCCCAACTGCTAGTTTCCCTGGTAACCGATGAGCCAATCACAGGTCAATTCCCCCTATAAATGGTAGCCTCTTCCGCCCCAGGTAGAGGGGTTGTTGTTATGGCTTGCCTACTCATCTGGTGGGGTGGAGTGTCGCTTCAGGACCCTTTGTTTTGGACGTGTAAGGTCCCCTTATCCAATAATTCACTGGTGTCTCTGTCTTCGGGCTCTTTCTTCAGTCTCGAGACTGGGCAACTATAAGGCTTGCAGCTCAACAATTGGTGAGCCAGCCAAGAGGCTGAGGAAACTCCCGTGAGCCCTGAGATGTGGGGAAATAAGGACGAGGGGTGGAACATTGCTGGGGAAATCCCAAGGTGGCTGTCCACCAGCATTTGGGGCCCTGTGGTAACTGACTACCATGAGAGATGTCTTTCTCTTCCGTTATATTGATATCCTGTTAACCTGAGTCTCTTTTCATTTTAAAGGTAGCAGCCCCGTGCTCGTGGCTCATCTGACTGCAGGGTGATGGCTGGTGAATACAGACAGAATGCAAGCACCTGGATTCGCTATCAAATAATTGGGTGTTATCTGGTCAGGTAAGACAAGCATACCCCTGACCCCTGACCCACCACTCCTAAACAATTACAGACACCAGCTTTAGGGATGTTAACTCAGGGACAGGCTTGTGAATTGAATGTGGCTGGTTACTCAGAAGGGTTTGGTGGGGGCCTGAGGCAGCGGCAAAATAATGAAAGGGTACTCTTGGGCTTCTGGTCCCAGCTGTGGAAGGGGGCAGAGCAACGATACCGTGTGATGGAACAACAGCTCTGTGCTGACAATGCGTTACAGCAGGTGGAGGGCATTACAAAAGGCCTACCTGAGTCATTGAGCAACACACAAAAACCCACTATCTGGGGTCTAAAACAGCTGTGTACGACATATGGGACCCCACCGTGGACATCGATAGTGACCAAGGAACTCACTTTACTGGCCATGAAGTTCAGGAATGAGCCGATTAAGAATGACGTACACTGGCGTTTCCTTATTACCCCACTGCTGCTGGGCTATGACCGGACTACTTAACAACTGAGATGGAAAACTGGCTCTCTCAACGTGTGACACATCCCAGGAGCAATTGTCCCAGTGCCTACACCATGATAACCCAGAAGCAACTAGTCAACACAAGCCAAGTTCACCTGTTGGCCACTGAAGGACCATTGCCAGCTATTGGTCAGGACAGTAACTTACTTTTGCCCTTGCCACAGGGTCTGTCCCCAGGAACACGTTATAAAATGGCCCTGGGACTGGCAGGTAAGTCCCCGGTGGTTTGCTTTTCCTGCCCCATGAGGAATAGGATTCGAAAGGGACTTAAGAGATTTCACCTGTCTTCTACCCAGCCCCACCTGAGACTGCTGAAACAATCCAGGCCCCCTACTGGAGAAAGGCACCATTATATTAGCCTGTGGTCAGTTGTTATACCACCTCTCCAGCGTTCGGCACCGGCTCTGAGGACTGAGGGTGGGCAAGCGGTGTACTACTGCAGGCCAGGACGTGGCGGCAGAGGAAATGTTACCTCAGAATGCTGTTACTGCTTGTCGTTTGCTTAATGGTCATGACCTTCCCTGTATGGTGCCTGTTAAAACATCTTACATTTTGTCCCTAGTCTGAATGGAGGGAATCTGTTTGTGGACTGGGCAACACTGGGGGCCTCACTGCGAAATGAGTTTGATTGCTGGAACTACAGCGAGATGCTGTTGTTGTCCTCTGGAATTCCATGAAAATTTGACCTGATGAGCTGCCTGGCTCTAAAGTTTGCCCACCTCTTGCACTCCTGATGCTCTTTAGCTTCTGTTGTCTGTATTGCATTTGCGGTATTTGGTTGCAGGGCACCACTACGTACCTGACCCCAGGGATATCTCGGAAGAGGGGTGAACCAAGATTGTAAGGGTCATGCAGGGTATGCGGGGGGGAGTGTACGGCCAGGCCACTCAAGGTGGCTGTTCTTTTGCTCTTTGTACATCCCCTGCTCGACCAGTCCCTGCTTCACCTACACTCTGCTCACACGAACGTGCTTGGCCTCTGCCCCAGCTAGTGATTGTTCTAGTCTTTAGGCCAGAACGGCTCCAGCTGCTAATTTATTAAAGGGAAATATCTGCCCTGGAGATGGTTGTTAACCTGAGGGGCTGGGAGGGACCTGCCCCAGCTGCTAGTTTCCCTGGTAACCGATGAGCCAATCGGAGGTCAATTCCCCCTATAAATGCTAGCCTCCTTCTCCCCTGACTAGCAAAGATTGTTGCCATGGCCTGCCTGTTGTCTGTCCTACATGGTAGGGTGACCCCTTGTTTCGGACGGGTAGGATCCCCTATCCAATAAATCATTGTCTCTGTCCCTGCCTTGGGGCTCTTTTTTCAGTCTCGAGGCTGGGCAACTACAAGGCTTGCAGGCCTGCGGGGTGCAGCCCCAAATGGTCTAAGGTTGGTCTGAGTTTCATCTTATTCGTTCCTGCCAACGTTTGGAAATGTTAAAGAACACTGAAAGGGTCCAGAGTCAGCATGAATGATTATCTGAGTGAATAAACAGAAGGATCAGTACAAACGAAAACCTCCTGGACACATCTTCAACTGGATAGTGGGCCTCCCTGCATGAGTGGAGAGTAACATATATGAGGGAAATGCTTTAGAGGGAGTACTGGAGGCCAATCGTTACTGCCCTATAATCTGGCCTATGATTTCATAAACTGGTTTGCTGAGCAAATGTCCACTATGTAACTTGCTGTATTCTTTAACGTGTGAAAGTTCACTTCAGAATTAGAGACGAATGTGTTCCTATTTAATAGCTGTACAGTTATAAATGATGTGTAAAACAAGGGTCTCTTCCCATTTCCAGTGAGAGACCCCATCCAATTGATCATTATGTCCCTTGTTACCACTGAATTGGTTATCAGCTCACTGAGGAGAAACTGTCATATTCATCTTTGGATCCTCCCTCAGCTGCCCCAGTTCTGGTAACAATCATTCAATTGCTTAAATTTCTTTCCGATTCCTACTGCCACCTTCTTGGCTCAAATGTTCTTCATGCTTGGAATATTACTACATTTCTTTATTGCACACCTGATTCTATGCTTGACTACCCCCTGCCCACCCCCCCAAAAAAAACCCTCATTTTACATATTATATACTGCTGCCTGATGATTATATATAAATTAATACGTTACTACCCAACTCAGTATTTTCAGTCGGGATGTTTGAAAGCTTATCATGTAGCTATTTAGTTTTCCCTGTTGTCTTAAGCAGTATTTCTTAGATTTGACTCATACTAATAATCTGAGAACTTAAAAAAAAAAAAACTCAAGTTACACCTGAATCAAAATTCCCACAGAAGGAGCCCAAGAATCTCTATCAAGCATCCAGGTGACTTTTATGATTAAGTACTTGTGGTTACTGTACTAGCAGCATTAGTATCACATGTGAAAAAGTAGATTTGGGGCCCCTTCTCACTTTGGGGTCCAGCAATCTGATTTAATAAGTCTTCCAGGTGATTCTGATGCACACTAAAGTTCAAATACCATCGAACTAGGCTGTAACAATGACTTAGGGCAGTGGTTCTCAGATGTGGCTGTACACTACAGTCGTCTAAGGAGCTTTTAAAAACAACAATAACAATACTGAGCCCTTACCTCCAGATATTCTAATTGAATTGGGGGCACAGCAAGCATTTGACTAATATATCATCATGGATGCTGAGGCTGATGTAACCTACCACCTGTAACTCATCTCAGAATTTTGAATTTATCTAGCCTTACTGATTCGATTTATATGGTGACAAGTTGAAATTTTTAACATAAATGTGTGCATTTAAGATATCCAGGTTCTCTGTAGACAGATTTAATTTGAATAAAGGGATCTTCTACTAATGGTTTGAAAACCACAAGCCTACAGACTCAAGTCCAAACCCTTCAGTCTTGCCCCCAAAACACAAGTTTATTGTCTCTCTTACTAATACCGCATAGCCCTACTCTCCAGCTGTAATATTGGGTTGGCCAAAAAGTTTGTTCGGGTTTTTTCCATAGCAGCTTATGAACTAACGTTCTTGGCCAACCCAATACACCTGTAGGAAGTATGCTTCCTGGCACCTAGGAAGGGGAAAGAGCACCAGACTGAGGTCTCAGACTACAGTCTAGTTCCAGCCTGTTGGACCTTGGCAAGTCACTAACTCTCTTTTGGCTTGTTTCCTCATTACGAAGGGAGGGGCCGGAACCAAATGATGTCTAGCACTCCTTCTGACTTAGTGTTTTAGCATTTTCACATTCAGGTTCATTTCCAACTTAGACTGTGTTGTCCCTCGTGTAGGATAACTCATCCAGAGGCACAGTTCAAGATCTAATTATCGTTAGTATTTCTTTGGCACTCAGTCCAAGCTTTTTTGACCTCTTAGGCATATTTGTGTGTTTATGTCTGGTCTCCCACTGGGTAATAGATTTCACATATCTCTTTGTATCCCTAAATGCCCAGTATAAAAGTCCATGTTTCTTATCTTTTTTCTCAGGACCATGAATTATGGCCGCTGCCATTTGTTTTATTCCAACAATAGCTATGTTGAAAGCTTGTTTTTGCTGAGTGAGCTCTCATGACTGTAGGTTTCCAACTTATATCCTACTTATCCTACAAATTTTCTTTTATGATAGTCCTATTCAGCCCCTAGTTTCCACTGATTATTCTCAAAATAGCTCTCTTGTGGCCTCTGCTGGTTTGACAGTAGACAACTGCTTCACTACTTCCTTAAATGCACACTAAAGGATTCAAGTGTAAGGACACTTCAGTTTTCCAAGGAACCATTCTAACAACATCAGCTCAGCAAAGAGAAAGATTTTGAGATGTCTCTTCAACTGCTAGCCTTGCTGAGAATAGACAGTGGTAAAACCTGAGATATTTTAAATGCTTATCTCTGAAGTGGCAGTTTTCAAAATTAAACTCATGCTTGTTAAGATGCCAGGAACAAGTGAATAAGATTCTTAGGTTCTTTAAAAGCTTGCCCCTTTGGAATAAACTTGTCAAAATTGGCCTGATTCTGATACTTATATTATACCTGGCAAAGATAAAAGTAAAAGTGCTTGATAAAGGTTTAAGTAAATGTACTAGTGTTATTTGGTTTATGTAACACTATTCCTTTTTGACAACTAGATTATAAATTAAAGACGATCTGGGCAAGAATCTTTTCAGAGTTATTTGTTTTAGAGGGCCTAAGAATGTTCTCTGTAAGTTTTTAAATACATATGCTAGATGCAATTTTAAATCGAGTTACTGATATGTTAAGCTGCCTTTCCAGTTGAACTGTGGGAAATCTTTCACTACGTGAGAGGTGTTAAGAATATTCTTCTGCTTCACTTGTTCTTTTCTCAAGGTAGCATGTTGTATCTTCTATATACATTTGGATACCTATGATTAACTCATTCAAACTGTTGCCTCTGACAACCTTACGTTTCAAATGATTTAATCGGGATGCCTGTCTGCCAAAGGCAGGAAAGGTGTTAATCCAGTGTGAAGTGCTGACGAGGTTCTGCATGCTTTCAAAGTTTAAATCACAGGTCTTCAACTTTAGAAAGCTCACAGGCAACCTGAAACTATATATAACTACATACAGTGATTGATGCATATGTGCATGAAAATACTGTCTAACATATATAATGCTTTACAAATGAAGAAGCCCTTTCATATATCTTCTTAAATCACAAACTGCAGTTCTGTGTTTAAATGCATCTGTCTAACTCAAGTGTCTATTACTTCATTTAAAGGTAGAGCTGGTCAGCAGCAGATGAAGAGACCTCAGTTTACCCAGCCTCACAGGGTTACTGAGGAAAAATGAAAAATGCTGGCTAAAGGGTTGGATTTCTCTCAAGCCACTATCAGGTAGACAATCTCTTGTCTCTGCTTAGGCTACCTTTTTTTTTTTTTTTTTTGCGGTACACGGGCCTCTCACTGTTGGGGCCTCTCCCACTGCGGAGCACAGGCTCCGGACGCGCAGGCTCAGCGGCCATGGCTCACGGGCCCAGCCGCTCCGCGGCATGTGGGATCTTCTAGGACCGGGGCACGAACCCGTGTCCCCTGCATCGGCAGGAGGACCCTCAACCACTGCGCCACCAGGGAAACCCTAGGCTACCTTTTTTTAAAAAAAACAGATCACTGGCGATATACAGCTCTAACTGCACATCCTGTGGCGCCCTGTTCCAATCCAGGTATCTCTCAGTGGCTATTCTGGCCATTGAGACACAGGGAAAGTTACTGGGAGGGGCCTTCTGGAAAACTTTTTAAAGAAGGACAAAAACAAATGACATGTGCCTTTTTCTTTTCCCTTCTACCTGGCTAGAACATGGACATGATTCCAGAGGTGGCATAACTATTTAATAGTCGCAAGGATGAAGGCCACATACAAAATATGAAAGCAGAAAGCTAGAAGAAATCTGGGTTTACGAGGGCACAGACCAGCTTTGGACTGCCCATCTCCAGACATTCTAATGTGAGAAAAAGAAAACTAGTCATTTGTTGTTTAATCTTTTTTGGATCTATTTTTTTGTAGCTTAGTGTTAAGCTGATACATAAATTCCCAAGATTATTTGAAGATTAAAAGAGAAAAATCTATGTGAAGAGTGTAACACAGTTTCTGGCATATACTAAGTGACCAATGAATGGCTATTATTTGGGGAAGATTAGTTGACTGCCAGCAGAGAACAAAAATCAAACATAGGATAAACAATTTGGGAAGGGAAGAAAAGTGCTGAATAGAAGCTATGATAGGTCCATTAAAAAAAAAATTGAGGGGCTTCCCTGGTGGCGCAGTGGTTGAGAGTCCGCCTGCCGATGCAGGGGACACGGGTTCGTGCCCTGGTCCGGGAGGATCCCACATGCCGCAGAGCGGCTGGGCCCATGGGCCCGCTGAGCCTGCGCGTCCGGAGCCTGTGCTCCGCAACGGGAGAGGCCACAACAGTGAGAGGCCCGCGTAC